CCCTACTTCTAAGAAATGAAACCATCTGAAAATATTTCTTTAAATCACAGCATTATATTCTAAACATAATCCAAAAAAGGAAATTGAAAACCACTTACATGCCAACCAATAAAGGGCCTGGTTAAGTCAGGGTACATTCAATGAATGGAATATCATGTAGCTGTCACAAAGAATGAATTGACTCTAAATATGATAACATGCAGCGAGCTCTATAAAATTAAGTGAATGAAGCAAAGAATAGTAAACTCTCATTTGTACTTAAAATATATATACATACATATGAGGGCACTTCAAAAAGTTCATGGAAAGATTCGTATTATCTTTTAATTCTATTTTTCTGGCAACTTTTTGAAGTACCCATGACTCTGGGCAGGAAGGATGCCATTTAGACAGGAATAGAAGGCAGATTTTCCCTTATATATCACTTCATACCTTTTGAATTTTGCACATATTTCTATATATCTGAATTTTGTAAATGTACATTACTTATTTGAAAAGTTTATTTTAAAATGTACATACCTTTACATTAGCAAAATTTAAAGTTTTCATTCTATATCAAAATTATAACATACTGGTAAGAAGAGACCATGCCTGAAATTCTGTATACCCATACTGCCTCAAATATATTGTGTAGGCTTTCTAATGTAGCAAAACCCACCATAACACTATAAATGAGATTTTTAAAAAATTAATAGTGTAAAATGAGACACAGCATTACCACAAATTTAATGAAATGACCAAGGTGTGTCTGTGCAACCAGCCAGCTAGGAGTTTTGTGTGTTCCCACTGTTAGATCAAAATCCATTCCGGTCCCAGATGCAGTTTGATGGGGGCAGTTTCCATTCAGACTTATGTTCAAATTAAGCAAATCACAAATGAATTCATACAAATTCACTTCATTGAATGGTCCATTTCTGAGGGCTTTTAGTGTACTTACTGATTCTTTTGCTCTTAGAATATTATGTCAGTAGAGTGATATAAAAATACTTAGATTACTTATCACTTTATTACATATACATTATCCCAATATTTTATATCCACTTTATATATAACTGTTTAAAAATAACTCCATGGCAATGGTGTATCACGGAGGCTTATATGCCAATCACTTTCATGTTTTAAGAAAAATAAATTGCAATAAATTTTAAAATTTTGTTTTATAATTTTCAAATATGTTTGTTCTGCAGGAAAATTGAAGGCTTCAATTGCTATTTGATATAAAATGCAAGTATTTGCCTGTAACAAATAAAATTTTTCATAATTTGAAAATATACTCAGGTGACACCAGGATTAAGAAGAATGGCAGTTATTTGATTCTGAATCTCCCCTCTCTCTCTCCTCCCCCCACCCCAAAAAACAAAGAAACATAAAATCAACAAGCAAAGCAAAGTCACACAGGATCTAAAACTTCAGTATTACCAGAAAAAAAAACAAACAAAAAACACTGCAACCCTCAAATTATCTCCAAGTAGAAATAAAAAGAAAAAATTCCAACAGACTTCCGGCAATCTTCCAGATGCTACAAACTTGTAAGGACAGAATGTGAGAATAGAATGGGACGGCAGAATAGGGATGGCTTAAAAGATTACTTAAGAAAGAGTAGAGGGTAACAGAGGACTTGTAGAGAGCACAGACAAGCACCTCCAGAAAGTAAAAGTGCGATAATAATGCCAAAATACTGTACAGCACTTGGTAGTCCATAGCTCTGGCTATGAGGAGAAGCTCGAAAGTGGGAGAAACCAGAAACGGAAGCCTTGGTGAAGCAATTGGAGTAATAAGTAATATAAATACATACGTCCATACACACATATATACATATATATCACTCTTTAAAGACAAAGCAGTAAACAATGAATGAAATAAGAAAGAAAAATTAAAGATCCTAGAAAAATGAAAGAGAAACAAGACATGTCATCCCCTTCCCACCAAAACCACCACCATTCATAAAACAAATAGTACAGAAAAGAGTAGAAGTGACAGAAAGAAACATTCTCAAACTGGAAACCCTTTCCAAGTCATAAAAAGGAATAGAAAAAAGTAGCCCAAATGTATAAAACTAAAACTACCACAAAAAGTCAGAAAAAGCAAATAAAAGCATTTCTGTTGATGAAAGCCCTCCCCTACAAAATCAATCATGATCCTGAAGAAAACTGTGACACAACATTTCAAACTGAATTAAATATGATCAAACAAGCAATTGGGAATATGAAAAAATACCTTGAATCAGAAATATAAACACTGAAAACATAAATGAACCCCCCCCCCAAAAAAGTGAAGACAAAAGGAAATAGATGACCAAACTCAGGAAAGAAACATAACATAAAAAGCATATAAAAAATGAAGGTTAAGTTATAAGATATCCAAAGAAAAATATAGATTCAAATAAAAACTTCATAAAAGCAGGAAATAACCAAGAGAATGCAAAGGAAATAAAGACAGAAGTCAGAGAAAAAGGGTCAGAAAAAAAGTGGCTGAAATGGAAAACAGGTAAAGTAAATCAAACATGTATAACTGGTGTCCCTGAAGAACAGTCAAAACAATGAGGAAGGAAAGAAAAAAAACAAAAAAACAACCCCTAATATTTAACACTACAATCCAAAAAAACTTTCTAGAAATAAAAGGTATGAATCTACACATACAAAGTTTCCACAGGATGCCAGAGCAAAATGACCTAGGACAATCAATTCTAAGTTGTAAAAGTTTTAGACTTTAACAATAAAGATAAAAAGTCCTCAGGGCCTTCAGGCAAAAAGAGCAAACAACCTACAAAGGCAAAGAGAATCAGACTGGCATTATATTCCTTCATAACAATATAAAAAATCAAAGTAACAGTGGAGCGGCATTTTCAAGAAACTCCAGAAAAAGATATATCCAGTCAAGCTGTCCTTAGGGTATCATAGCCACTAAAAACAGTTTAGAACATCCCAGAACTCAAGATATATACAAATGTGCCATTCCTGAGGAAGCTACCAAATGATATTTATTTAACCAAAAGATGACTGGTAGAACTTTACAAAAAGACTGATACTGGGCATTTCATCTATTTAATTGTAGAGCAAAGACTAAAACAAGGATAGGTCAAAGGGTTAAAAAATAAAGATATATTTTTAATTCTTTTTTAATTAAAAGAACAATTCATTATGTTATTAGTAAATTCCATATATAGAAAAAGAATGTAAAACATTTTAAATGCTTTGAATATTTACTGTAATTTTCATTATTTTGATCATGTTATAGCATCTAAAATGTGAGGAAGCTGCTTGTTGAAAAAAATCATTATCAACAATTCATAACACAAAACAAGACAAACACATTAAACTTAATGTGGCTACTCACATGTGAAACTTAGTGGGATAGGAAAAATAAGTTTTTTGATGATAATATTTTCAAGGTAGTCATCAAATGACTTAATTATAGCAAAATAAAATTTTTTAAAGCTCAAGGAAAAGTTTATGATTCACATTTAAGGCAGGAGATTATTATTTAGGCAGTTCAAAATAGGAGATAAAAATATATATTATGAAAGAATAAGATTTCACATAAATTTACTTTCTCAATCATACTGTTTCCTAGCCTATATAAAAATAACTCTATATTCACATACAAACTGAAATGAGGATAAGGGACCAGAAATTGTAAAGATCACTGATACCAAAATAATAAATAGCCACAATAATAGCAATAAACTTAATATTTGGTGAGTACTTACTACATGCTTACAAATAGCTTAGCATAATCTCACTTAATCCTCACAACAAGCTTATGAAGATGGATAATTTTATTATTGCCATTTTATAGCTGAGGACATCGGGCATAGAGAATTACCTAACTTATACAAGGTAACAGAAATGTAAAGTGGTGAAACCAGGACCGAAATCCAGATCTGATAAACTTCATGGTTCATGCTCTTAAATCAGTATGCTAATTTGCATGCATGTTTAAAATAAAATCTCATCTAACTAATTTAGCCTAGTATGTACAAAGTCTGTCACTGATTACCATGAAAAAGACCTAAACTACAACACTAGTCATCAGCCCAACAGTTGATCTCAATCATATAACTAACTGACGTAGTTTATTTTCTTCCCCTCTTTGTTGTTATTGTCAAAGATTCAAATTTATGCTACAACATCTTAGTTTATTATAACTATTCTTTTATTCATAAGCACAGCTAAATATTTCCAAAATCTATCTTTTCTCAGCTTGCACCACCTTCTCAAGTGAGTAATGAGTTCCTCTGCTAATTTAAAAAGAAATTATTTTAATTTATCTGATTTCTCTGAATTTAAGGGATGTCTCTCTCCAATTCTAAGAATTAAAAAATAAGTCCATATTTACCTTATCCATACAATTCACATTCTACCTAACAGTGATTTTGCAAAATAGAAATAAGAAAGTTAAATTTTTTCTGATCTGTATACAAATATTTTGGATGAGGTGAAGAACTACATTCTAATCTACTCAGCATCAAGTAACCAAGCAAATACACTTACATAGTGAAAAATTAATAGATGAACAGAAGTTTAAAAGACGTATGAATCAGCAGAATTTAAAATTCCACTTCTAAAAATCAAATAGTAAATAACAAAAGATATAATTACAGTAAGACAATAAGATAACGCTTTATCAGTCCTTTCTCCTGATAATTCTGACAAGATTAAAGAATACTATAAAACAAAATATTAAAACAAAACATTTTAAACCCTAACAACTATTTTTCCTAAAATTCATTAAGTATTCTAAAAGAAAAAATAAAAAGACCAAGCTGTCTCCAGAAATATAAAAAAGCAAAATGTAAGAGGAAGTTTAATAAGATGTTCTCGTAATAAAAACTTTACGAAGTACTAAATTAAAATAATAAAACCTTTAATAAATTCATCATTCCTTAAATATATAAAACATGTCTTCCTTTCAAAGATTTGATATCACAATATCACAGATTTTCACAAACCTGAGTCATTAACCTGCATTTTTTCATAATAAATTTGCAATATGTTTACCTTCAGATCCCATGATGAAGTGATGGATATCAGGGCCTGTTGACATACGAGGTCCTTGACAGCTTTTTTCTATTATACCTCTAGGTGTTACCATTTTTATATGAACCACCTGTTTAATACAATACATGATGTAAATTCTAGACATATGTCAGTAAATTTATGTGTATGTATGTATACACATTCATACATATTTATATGAAACACTACTTTTTAAATATTTGGTTAAATAATAAATTGTGATGCCCTTCAGAACTCTAACAATTTTTAGTAATTCTCAGACTAAAGGTAAATTTGTATATAACCTTAAAAGAGGGAAAAATCATTCTAAGACTGTACACCTCTGGTCTAGAAACATTGATCATCTTAAGAATAGAAAAACACATTTCTAAACCAAACTAAACCGCTTCTAAACTAAATCAAATTTAGTTGAACTTTATCCATATGGCAAAGAACTAAAGGACTCAAAAAGTAAGCAATGATCATACATTCATTCTTACATTTATTTAACAATATTTATGAACCACTATTATTACTGCTTCATAAATAGGTTCATTCTTTCATTTATTTAACAATATTTATGAAGCACTATTATTCATATCATGCACTGCTAGAGATGCTTAGAATTCTAAGAAAAAAATTATTCTTGCCTTATCCCCACCTTCAACTCTACTGAGTAGAAGAGAGTGAAAAGAATGAAATACTAATTACGATCAGGTCAAAATTGGGACTAAGAGGAAGAAGCAGTGACTGAGTTAAAGAGACGGGGAGAGAGATGTGTTCTGGTACATCACATAGGTGAGAAAGTAAGTACGCTTGGGGAGGAAGATCACTCTAAAAAATAGTTGCTGAGATTTGAACACAAAATGATTAGGTAAAAATTCAACATTTTTAGAAAGGATTTTTGACAGACAAGCAAGTCAATTTATCATTAAATGAAATAAGCAGAGGACATCAATAAGCAATTCACAAAGTAAGAAATCAAAATCGTCAGTGGAGACATTTTAAAAGTATACATTCAATTGCAATTAAAGAAATACAAAATTAAAACACAAAAATACAAATAAAAAATCCAGGAAAATACAAAGGTTCTCATATGCTAGTCGTAATGCCAACTGGTAAAAAATTTTTACAGAACAATTTGGCTGAAAGGATCCAAAGATTTTAAAATGTATAAATTTTGTGATCCAACAATTAAACCTCTAGGAGCTTACCCAAAGAAAATGATTAAAAATGTACACCAAAGAAATTACTAAACTGGGTATTTTCCCCCTTTGTTTTCTGTAATTTTGAAATCAAGAATAATTTAAATGTTCATTAAAAGGGAATAAGTTTAATAAACTATGAATTATCAATAAAAGAATTACATGAACTCTTTAAAAATTGATAATGCAAACCTATATTCATTTATATGTTAATATGCTGATAACACAATTAAAACATCAGATTAAACACAGTATGATTCTCTTTTTTATACTAAAAATTGATATACATCTGTTTGTGGTATGCCTAGAAAAGAGTATAGAAAGATAAATATCAAGATGTTAAGAGAATTAGAAATTACTGTACAGCATAAATGACTTTTTATACTTCTGTAATAAGTATGTATTATTGTTGTTTTTTTTTTCTTTTTGTCGTCCTTTTTGAGACCGGCCGCACCGCGCTCAGCCAGTGAGCACACCGGCCATCTCTATATAGGATCCGAACCAGCAGCGGGAGCGCTGCTGCGCTCCCAGCGCCGCACTCTCCTGAGTGCGCCGCGGGCTCGGCCCAGTATGTATTATTTTTAAAATAAGTTTCTAATTGCTAAAATTGTCTATTGTCACTGTTATGATTTTAAAAGAAGCATTTTCTTCAGAAATTTTTTAAAAAATCAAATGCTTACTGTATCATACCGTATTTCCTTTTATGAAGATTCAGAAGTTTTAGTTAGATTTTGTCACTATAGGTTTCAATTTCTTGCCTTCTAACAGTGCTTCAAAACTGAAAAATATGGCAAAGCATCTTTCATAGAAGTGGTGGATTATTGCTAATGGCCATGAGCTTCAGCTCTATAGCACCAGCATAAGAAAGAATATTCAGAAATGGTCAGGAAATCCTTTAGTGAGGAAATATTCACTAAATTAAGAAATAATTTAGTTAGACTGTAGTTAAAATTCCTTTAAATGACCTTCAAAACAAGTGGGGATCAGAATTTAAGATGAGAAGTTTATCCCATTGTATACAGAAAGCACTCAAGACTTCTGAATCTTCAGATTATGTTAAAAATTTAGAGTAAACAACTATCTTCAACTTTTTTCAAACAGTTAAATAAGGTATTAGCATAATTACTTATTGTACTTTTAACTAAATATGCCCTAATATTGATTAAAGAAATACATTAACACATTCAAAAAGTTTTAATTTTTGTCATGAGTACCACTGCAGCCATATAGATTCAAAAATATCAACTTTAGCTATTTTTTCATAAAAGCAAATAATGTAAATTAAAACAGTTTCAGAGGGCACTATATATTGCAAAGAAATTCAAGTTAAAAATAAAATGTGATAAGTACTAATTCAAGTAAGTACATTAAAATGTACACTTACAATCTGTGGTCCTTAGATATCTTCAAAAACTGATTTAATTATATGCTTTATCAGTAATAAATGCAGTGGTCTATCAAATATTTGCCTAACTCTGATGAAGATCTTAACACTCCAATAGCAAAAGGACCAAATTTTCTTCCCTGAAACTGAATTTAGGTTATTTTAATTACAAAAAGAAAAATGTGATTTTTAAAAATGTCTTCAATAAAAGAATATAAACAAGACAATGTAAACATAGAAAAAGTGTTCACGATACAGACAAAAATCTTAAATTATTGGGTGTTAACTACAAAGAACCAATATATTTCATTAAAGATTTGATATTCTAATCAACCAAGATACTGATTAAAATGTTGCAACTTTAGATTCGAAAAGCAAAGCTAAATAGCTCCAGGAATAATGTAGGAACATCACTTTAATAGTCTCATAAATTAAAGTTCTTTTACGCTATTATCAGAATATTAAAGATAAGGGAATCGACATTTATGAAGCAACTACTACACACCAGACATGACTGAGTTTTTATTCAATGTGCTTTATTCCTTATACAGCAAATTTCATTATTCTATTTTAAAGAGGAAACTAAAGTTGAGAAAGGTGAACCAATTTGCACAGGGTTGCACAACTAGCCACCAGAAAAGCTAAAAATGGAACAAATGATACCTAATCTTAACAAGGGTGCCCACAGTTACACTATTATCACACTAACTCCCAGTGAATTGGTACCAGATCAGCTAAGAGAAAATAGTGTGAACCTCTTGGGTCATACCACTACTTAGTAGAACAATTTCAATCAGGCTTTAATTCTATACAGAAAAAAATCTTTTCGGGACAATAAATATAAAATCTCCTAAGGTAACAAGAAAAGCATGAGAAGATCACCTAAATAAATGGACTAAAATCTTGGTAGAGCTGAAGGCTAAGTTTTCCCAAAGCTTGTAAAATAATATTTGTATATTTAATAAGATGAATACTGTGAGACATCTACAAAGCTTAAATATTAGTCATTTGGAAAAGGGCATCCTTAAGCAATGACCACAGTTGTGTCTTTTAATTGCTTCTACTATACACACTCAACATTACTATAATCAAAAGGTATACTTCGAGGGGAGGGTTCTACATTCCAACTCTTAATTTTTAAAGGCTTTTAGTCACTTTGTAATAATCTTTATATACTAATCAATTATCATATAACTAGAAAAAAATTTACCAGATCCTCAATATTGCCATAGATATTCTTCTTCATGCCTGATGCCCGAGTAGATACCCATCCTCCCACAGTGCTGAATTCCAAGGAATCTGGCTCATGACCTGTACAATAACCACTTTCTTTAAGCTGGAAAAAAAAAAAAAAAAAGTTCACATTTCACTAGTGCAAATGGCACCATTTCACACAGCACTCAACACATTAACTCCTCCCACCTTAAAATTCCCGTATGTTATTGGTATTTGAAGTCATTAAAACCTGTATAGAAAAATAAGTGTTTTAATCATACTAGTCCTAAAAAAATTTTTTTGCCAAGTGGAGAACTTTACAAAACTGAAAAATGTAAGCCAAAAGACAGTTGTATTTTCCACAGGTTCGCCAGACATCTTACTCCTTACATCCTTTTGTTTTATAGCCAGCTGTACCTCCCACTTCTTTTCTTCCACAAAGAGACAACTTAAATACTTAGGGAGATCAGATTATGCTTAAGTAACTGTCAACTTCACCTAAACACTTTCAATAAATAAAGCACTTAATCTCTTGTTCTCCCTACCCTAATATAATATGCAGCAGGCCTGCAGAAAATGGGAGCAAATTGCCTGTACTTAATTCTCACAAGGAGTCATGTGTTTTAATGTACAGCCATCTGGCTAGGTTTCGTGCATGTAATACCGTCATTTATTTGTGATGCGAATCATGCATTCCTGTACATTAGTCACTTGTTTCTCATTTTTCTATATTAGCTTGGCTTTGCCATCTGCACAGCACCTGAGGTTGAATGGATGCCCTGTACTTCAACACCACCAAACCATTCCACCAAAATCATTTTAAAAACTCAGCCATCTCCTGTCAAATGGTACATACACCACCATCTGCATACCCACTGTCTACTGCGCTCAAACCCATCAATCTGAGTTGACCATTTTGATAGTCATCCAGTTAAGCAACTGCCTCTATTTTTCAAGTAAGCCATGCAGAGATGTAGAATATGTCAGCTATGTCTGTATCTGTGTATTTAAGTATGGTATGAAAGATGTAATCCAAAATTTGGAAGCCTATTAGGTTAAATATAATTTGTTAGGTTTTACACACCAGCAATGCAAATTAAGCTTGCTACTATGGAAATGAGATTGAAAAGACATCAGTTGTTACATAATAAGATTTTTTTCACTAAATATTCAATATATTTATTTAATAAAGAGGTTAATAACCACTCACAAGTAGTTTAAATACATGACTAAAAGTGTTAAAATAAAGATTATCAGACTATTATGTTACACTGCTTCCCTAATTCCATTCTCAAACAATCTATAATGATATTATTTTTTCTCAAAAGACTACTGGTGCTCAATTTTATGAAATTAGGAGAAAAAGAGAAGACATTCATGGATCTAAGATGTGCTAGGGAACACTGGGAACATGAAGTTTTCACATACTCTCATGACAAAACAAACCTCCACATTACCTACACAGAAGCAGATCATTGAATACACATTTAAACTATTTCTATCAGTATATCCAATATTAGGTACACTATTAATTTGCCTCTTATGCCTGATAGGCTACTTTGTTAATTTCTCCAATAACAAGTAGCTACTATGTGCCGGGAATTGTGTAAAGCAATGAAGATTAGGATACCTTAAAAAATAAATAAAAAATAAAAAGTCCCTTTGCTGAAGGAGCTCAACTTAGCACACCAATTTAAATCTACTTCTTTGTTAACAATCTCATTAACTTCCTACAATGTAAGTGTAATGGTTAAAAATCTGGGTTTGAGACTAGACATTCTCCCTAGCTAGAAAATTTGCATACTACAGTATGCTAATTTAATAAGAAACAATTGTTAGCACACAGTAAGAGCTTAGTAAATGGTGAAGATGGCGACGGGTCTGGAGCG